GGGGGCGGAGGCCGGGAAACCGGAAGTTCGCACATCTCAGCAGCCACTGCTACTAAGGACGCGCTCGGTTGCTAACACGTCGGGGCCGGCGCGTCCAGTGACGTCAGGGGCGCGGTGCCTCTGCGCACGTGTCCTGCCTGTTGGCGAGGCTGTCTGGCCCTACGCTTAGGTCCTAAGTAAAAAAGTCAACAGAAGAAAAGTGTTGAGCGATTCTTTGCTTAAGGAAACCATGGGAGATTGCGAGCTCATAGTTTGAGTTCGTTGGTGCGGAGCTGCAGGTGCACAGCCAACCAATGATTAAGGCCTTGAGGTTCCTCTCCGCTCAGGTACAACTTTCAGGCGTCTCCTCCGTCTCTCGGTCCCGACCTTCCTTTCCTGAGAGCATTTACTCTAGAAAACTTGTAATTGCAAATTCATTCTCTGCCCTTCTCAGATACCATCTTTTAAAAAGCTTTTGGCTTGTGTCAGTTGTGCAACCCAGGACTGTCTTAAGGACCCGGGAGCCATCTTTTGAAATGTAATCAACGAAGAAGATAACACCCCTCTTCCAGTCTCTGGAAAGGTAGGAGCCTAACCTAGGCAGGCGCCTTGTTTCAAGTTGTAGAACTACCTCCTGTCATGAAGATAAGAGAGTTTTTTCCTTTGAATAAGGCCAATTTGTAAACTTGAGGGGCCTACGATGCCCCCTTCTTCAACTTTTAAAATCTCTTCAGCTCTTTGTTTCTTTCTGGGTAGTGAGCTCAGAGGTTGGAGAGGATACACTAGTAGTGAGACCTCGAACTGAAAACAGACAGTGGAGGTGGAAGACCCCTAAGTGAAGAGGAAAGATTCTGAGCCCCTCCAGGATGTGGCCTAACTGGGGACATGACAACTGGGCGAAGGAGCCCTATGGCTTAAAGATACATTTTTCTGAGACATAAGGGAAGGGGCGACTTGCTCCTTGCCTAGGGATGAACCCAGCTAGTGGTATAAATCCTCTAAACTCCCACATATCGGGGCACTTGGTTTGGTTTTGGCCGGCTAAGTTGTCCACTCGGGTCCTGAGTGTATTTATTTCCTAGAAAAAAAATCCTCACCTGCTTTTGCTGCCATTTGTTTGAATTCATTCCTACCAGCAAGACAAGAACTGGGGGTACAGAGTACTGTCTCTGGCCAGGGGCTACTTCTGACCGGACACCACCCCAACCACCACTGGCATTACAATAATCTTGAATAATGTCTTCGTTGCCTGTTTAAGTTTGACATCACTAACATGGAACTTTGGCTTGAGCAATACTAACAAACAACAACAACAAACATGGCCAGAAGCCAAAGTTAATATTTGCTCTTTTCTTAAAAAACTTATACTCGACAAATTGTTTAGAATTTCTGATTGCATAGCACTGTGCTAAAATTATGAGTGTAGAGAATAGACAAATATGACCCTTGCTCTCATAGCACTTAGGTTCAAATGGAAGCAACAAAAGGAACATTTGGACTCGTTCTGAATGCTGAAATATGTGCTATAAATGACAAGTGCAGATCTAAAGTAAAAAATTTTATAAAGGACTATTGGAGGTGGTGTGGACAGGATAGTGTCTTTAGCTGCTTGGGGATAGCAGATTAATGTAATTGCTTCTGGCTGGTGGAATTGAAGGTACTAGGCATCTTAATGCTGGGTTTCTGTGTGAGCAAGACCATTATGACACACCCTAATTTTAGCTTCCAGCCTGGCATTTATCAATAATAACGTAGCTCTTTGGATTTCTTACCTCCCTTATTCACAGGCTTATTCAGAGCCATATATGAAAAAAGTCCAATATTCAACACATAAAAAAAAAAGTGCATCATCTTTCATTCCTTACAGTATCACACTTTACTATTGTGTTCCTTTCCCTGATTATCCTTCTCAGGTGCTCAGGCATAAAAT